TTCACTTATCAATGGAAAGCATGATATCAAGCAAAAAAAATGATCTTAAAAATAGAAAAATTAAATATTCTTTCAAAAAAGGTTTTAATGCAATTGTAAAATTTTATGAATCATTTATCAAAGCAAATGTCTCTTAAAATCTAAAATGACGTTAATTTAACATTCTTACTGTTATTGGAACAATCCTACCATAGAATACGTACATCTATTTTTATAACTTAAAAACAAAATTGATTACCTGTACGATTCCGGAGTTACCGTTAGCCACAAGGTCATAAGAATTTGCTTTCTCGGTTCTAATGTCTGACGACCACGACTGCACTTGTTTATGAGTTTTTCCGAAATCTAAAACGATTTATTTTCATTATAGAATATTGTGGTAGTTAATAGAACTGAAATAAAATAGTTTATTTTACCTTCCTATTTAAAAACATTAATAATGGTTAATAATTATTAATGTATTTAAATAGGAAGGTAAAATAAAGGTCAAGCGATAAAACAGAAATTAATTCATGCCTATTCTGATACCTTGAATTTTACCAAAATTAATATATTTGATAAACTTACCATGTTTTCAACGACATTAAAAGTTTCGGGACTCATTCTAAAATGGCTTTTGAACGTGCGTGGGGAAAATCGCGAAACGATTTCCTCCACGTACCCTTCCACCTTCGGAGTTTTCTCCGATAGACGTTCAACTTCTTTAAGTTTGCTTATAAGCTTCTTGATCTTCACTTGGTTCCATGATAATTTTGATTCTTTTTAAAGATTGCAGAGAAATGTATTAATCTAGATTAATTTTGTATTCTTCACTTTTGAGAAAAAATAACAATCCTACATCTGAAATTAGAAAAAATCTCTTAAAATTAAAATTTCTTTTGTAATTATTCTATAACATAAATCTTTCTACAAAATGCATGTTTCTTTGTTACAAAAAGGAGCATCTCTAATGGAATCTCAATGTTGTTGCAATACTCAAATACATATTTTACTGGATACAATTGTATACAAAAATAAATAAATTAGAATAAATTAAAAAATAATTCTTTACTATAAAAGTTTTTTAAACAGGATATTTATTTTAAAAACATTTACTATTTATTAAATAATTCATAAATTACCATATTTTATGGCATATAAGACACATCTCCATTTCAGCAGAGAATACTTATGAAAAAGTATTTAATGTAATTAAATCATTCTGTGCTTTAGCATTCTTCACCAAAATTTGTTTACTGTATTTTGTGAAAAAAATGTAAAGTTAGAATTCACACTTTTATTTATCAAGAGAAAAAGGAGTTTAAAAAGAAGTCATTTACAATTAAAATATACTACAAGAATACATATAAAGGCTGCTTAGCTACAGCAAAAGATAAATTTATTTAATTAATTAATATGTTTAATTAAACATTAATATTTTTATTCAACAGTTGCACTAGGTAGAGGTTCATAATTTCATATATAATACCTAGGGTAATTTTTTTGAGAAAGGTTACATCTTACATGTTGTAAAATATGGTAGTCAGTAAAGGGATAATTGGTTAAGTATGGATGGTGTTTAGTCGAATAAAGTCTATGGAGTGGCCACAAAATATTTCTACACAAGATTGTGTCCTGCATTTCCCAATTAGAGAATCTCAATAATAATGGGTCAGACATAGGTCCAGTGGTGTTGTCACCTTGAAATACAGATTTAATATGTGATAATTTATTTCACAGTATTGAGAAAATTTGACTTCCATTTTATAACAGTCAAATAACTAAAAATAGCTAATGAATAAAAATTAAAATCTATCAGAGAAGTTAGAAAATATGCAGATAATCTCTAACATGCATAAGGACTTTATAGTCAGACTGTATACTTAACTGCCACTTGTCATTCATTCTACTGTATATAATTTCAAAATAAAAATACCAAAAATATATATATTTTTATAAATAATAAATTTTTGATGATATTATATACATCATTAAAAATTCATTNGCATGTGTTCGAATCGGTCTTTTAAAACCTCCGAACTCCCTCTGGTGGCGATCGGACGAAGTGCGAAATTGGTCGCCACATATCTATACTAATACAGTAGACCCCCTATAACGCTTAGGGCGCGTTTGGAAATTGTAACCGGTGTTACCGGTAACTGCCGGTAGTTACCAAGGCGTTTAGAAAATGTGACCTAAATAACCAACCGCGTTTAAAAATCACGGTTATGACGTCACCGGTTGTCCTGCGGTACTTACCAAAGTTACCCAGGTGTCGAAGCGGTTTTAGCGGTTATATTAAATTACAAAATGGCGGATACAGTGTATCGTTGTGGAGATTGCGGTCGAGAATTTAAAAGTATGGATGAAATAAAACAGCATTTTGCTTCGGAACATGTTCAAAAGCCAATTTCGTCCCAAAATTCAGCTTTAACGGATGGGGCAGACGGACAGCATGGTCGTTGGCCAGCAAATGCTGTGAAGTTACTGATATCACAATATAAAGAACATGAAAATAAATTTTCCGATATTTGTTGGCCAAGCAAGAAGGTATGTAAATATTTATTTATTCTTTTTCGAGTAGTTAAAGGAATTACTTATTTATTAGAAGTCCTCACTCATAACGTCTAACATATTGTTTAACAATTATTCCATATANGTGTCTGGCAAATTATCTTAATCTTAGAAGTACAAAATATTTTACATTTCATTTTTATATGTTTACATGAAAACGTGATTTTTTTATGTGACAATGCTTCTGCAATATCATCACTAAGCATGCCGACTAATAATTGTTCAATTTGATTAAGTAGTGAAAAAGAAAATTATTTGGGTATGTGAATCTGTTTTTTGTTTTAAGGTTAATCAACTGTGTCGCAGGTTGATAACTTTCATCTTTGGCGAATGCCTTAATACAAACTTCACAACATGTAAAATTTTAAATTTTTTTGCAATAAAGCCAGCAACATAATATGTTATGCATTCTATATATCTGCAGATGTATAATCATGACCAATTATCTCTTACACTCCTAAATACCTCTTTCAATATGTCCAATCCAATTTCTCTTTTAATTTTTTCAAGTGGGTAAGATCCTCTTTGGATTTCTTTACGAATATTTTTTTTTCCTTTATAATGAACTCTCGGTTTCTCATGAAATGGAATTTGGCAAATACCAGATCTTGGTGGTTTTAATACAAAATGTAATGATGACAATATATGTACCGGTACAGTATATATATAGTATAGTTCAATACATAGATAATATATATCATTATATAGTTGTAAGAATGTTGGAAAATCAGGATGTTTATTTTGACATCCAGTTCTTCTAATTGTCCGAAAAAAACCGCTGTAATAAAAAATATTTGATTACAATTTTTATATATTGCTGTAGAAAAAAATGCAGCAATTAGAAGTATATTTTAGATTATCGGTTGGTTAAATAGTTTAAAACTACAATAAAGTTAATTAAAAGATTTTTTCGAAGTGCTTTGCTGATTTTTTTTAACTCTTTCCGCCCTGTGGGCACTAAGAGGGTCTCTTTAGCAAGAGAGGCTCTTTCGGCCAGAACCACAATAGGGCAGTCGGGTGGTGAAGGACGGGGACCGACATATCCGGACAGACCACCCAGTGGCGTAGCGTAGTGGGGGCGGCCCGCACCAGGAGGCACTTTTTAGGGGGCGGCAAAATTTCACAATAAATAATAATATCTTGTAAAAATTTGAACTATTTCATTTCATATTTTCGTCGCACCTACGATTCGGACCGACTGAAATGAGCACGGAACAGTGTTACCATCCGGACAGTCCGGGAATCGACTCACCGTCCGGGTGAACTATTAATTCTGTCCGGGAATATCGTGCGCGACCTGTCGACCTCTTTTTTTGCTTGTACGATTCATTCATATTCATATACACCTCCAATATCCATTAGAGCTAAGTCATCTAGGTTACTTACGTTACTCCTACCTGATTTAGAACTGGCACGCACTGCACATTATTCTTCGCATTGCAAAATGACATACGCATGCGTCAGGAACTTCTGTTCGAACAAACCTCACCTGCCGTTCGTGTCAGCGATTTTAAAAAGATGGCAACACTAGCACGGAATTTTTCATTACTTATTCTGTGACAAAACTGAATTTTAGTCTTCTAAATTCAGATACCTAAATAAGGAGACAACGAAATTTTCCTTTGCCCCGGGCGGCTGATACCTACGCTACGCTACTGAGACCACCCCCGAAAAATATCTGGTGATTTTTCGACCCGTTCGGATTCTATCCCGGGTCCCCCAGAGCGGTAGGCTGCCACATTGACCGCTCGGCCATCCAGCCGAAGGATGGCCGGATGGTAAGGAACGGGGCTTGACATATCCCGAGGTAGCCTATCCCGTTGTCCCTAAGCACAGCTTCGGGACGCCGAAATGCCCCGTTTTCAGAAAGAGAACAACCAACGGTAACAATTTTGAAAAAAAGGCGCGAAAAAAAAATAATAGCAATATGTCTCACACATATGTAAGTCGGTCAGAAGCCTGGTAGTTCGCTTGCTCCTCGGTTGCGGGTACATGTAGACCAGGGGTGGCCAACAGTTTTTGCCCCGTGGCCGGATTGGAAAGAAAACTTTTTCCACGGGACAAACCAGAGGCTGCTTAGGAAGATTTTGAGGTGGTGCGAGATCTTATTGTGGTGTCACCCCCTAGAAACCGAATTGTAGTTAAAAATTACAGATACATTTTTCACATTATCATGCTTTATCAACACTCTACTCTGTACTTAGGAGATTTTTAATGGAGGGTTAACTCTAAACACACAATGAGTTGACTTTTTTTTAGGCGTCAGAATTTTTTATCGAGCTATTCGGACTTCACAACCAAATATTGAAAGATTGATCGCGGGTCACATAAATTTATTAGACGGGCCGTATGTTGGTCATGCCTGGTCTAGGGTCCATTCACATCGTTTATTCGATAAGCCAATAAAAACCGTAGACTACTCTAAATGCAGTTTTAATATNTGTCCCCAAATGATAGAGCCATTTTAAAGTAGTGACATAATAGAAATAGTAAGCAAAACTTAATATGATAAACCAATAATCAATCCTCTATGTAATAATTTTATTAAAAAATATTAAAATGAAGATATAAACCAATCTTGATAATGTTGTACAGGATATACTTGCCCTATAATGATATTCATTTTTACTTCAGCATTTAAATTGCAATTGTTATGAAAAATAGTACACTGGGTGGTATAAAATATAAAATAATAGAGTGAATTTATGTAAGAATGAAAAGTAATGAAAATAGTCATTCTTAAAATATAAATATTTAATTATTAAATTCTGTGTTAATATTAGGAGCTAAAATTTAACACAGAAACCAAAATGAAAAAAATTATAACTGACCTAAAATTTATATCTTTCAGGTGTGGAGTTTAATTTCAAAAACAATGAATGAAAATAATTACCTTGTCACAGGTAATCAATGTGACGAAAAATGGAGGAATTTAAAAAAAACGTATAAGAAAATTAAAGATGGGAATAAACAAACTGGCCGAGGAAGAAGCCAATGGGAATTTTTTTCCATGATGGACGAGATTCTCGGACAGCGGCCAGATATTGAGCCACCTGCTATTTTTGAGAGTTCCTCTTCAACTGTACAGGTTTTGAGTAAGTGATTTGTCTGCATTATACAAGTGATTTGTCTGAATGTCATATTACAATATATAATTATCTTTATGTAGACATAGTGGAAAGCAATTCAGAAGATCCAGGAAACATTGGGATTGGGGGGATTGAGTCAAAATCATCAGCTGTCTCTTCTCTTCCCAAATTCCCACAAAAACGTAAGCGCAAACCAGAATGGTTTGAGGAATATAAAGAACTGAAGGAAAAATCCAGAGAAGAAAGAAGACAGCGACATGCCGAATTATTAGAATTAAGGAGAAAACAGCATGAAGACAACATGGAATTCCGCAAAGACCTATTAGGTGTCTTAAAGAGTTTGGTTGAAAAATAAAAATTCTATTAAATGTTAACAAAACCTCTCTTTGCACTATGCTTTAAACACAAAAAATTTTTCACCAATTAGATAAGATTCATTTAAAAGAACAGTGGCAATGTATGTATTATTCAAGGCAGCCAACAACAACATTGTTTTATAATTTTTTATTTCAGATTATTAAAAAGTAATTAACAGTAACAAATCAGAATAATCAAATACCAAAATAACAACAACAATATACATCAATAATAACAATAAACATCAATACTGTATGTTGTAAACAGATTTTTACAACATTTGCATTAATATATTTCTTTTATTCTGTGCTCGAGCACATGTACTACTTGAATCTGGTATGGATTCACTAGGGGTGTCATTTTCAATTACAGTTTCATCCTGTAAATCTCCATCATAAAATAAACAAATATTATGTAACACACAGCAGGCCATAATAAACACTGGTATGAGATAAGGGTTGCCCATATCCACGTATCTCAAACGTCTGAAACGTCCTTTCAATAAACCAAAGGCACGTTCCATTGTGTTCCTTGTTCTACTGTGTTTGAGATTAAAATTTAGCTGCTGTGGACTTAAATGTCCGTTATCTCTAAATGGCGTTATTAACTGTTCTTGTAGGGGATATGCAGAGTCACCTAAAAGATGGTATTTTGGTGGAAACATCGTACTCAAACTTCTCCCCAATTTAGAACGTTGAAACACACGAGCATCATGGACACTTCCAACTTCTCCTGCATAGCAGTCTATGAACCTGCACCTAATGATATAGTTAAGTCAATGAAATTAACTTTAAAATCTAAATTTAAACTGAAACAAAAGGAATGATTTACAAACCTAGAATCCACTACAGCTTGGAGTAAGACTGAATGGAAACCTTTTCTGTTTATATATGATTCTGGATGATTTGTTGGTGCCTTGATTGGTATGTGTGATCCATCAATGCAGCCAATCACACCAGGAAATCCACATGCTTTTTTGAACGAAGAAGCATTA